GGTATCAAAGCCACATTATTTACTCAATATCTCAAAATGTCTACCAACTTTGTTCGGCCACAAGCTATGTTACTTGGACTCGGGAATGGGTGTCGGACACGAACACGTGTCTAAGTATCCGATCTGTCAATTTTAAAAATTTTAGGGCACGGGGACTCTGGCCGAAATTTGGACACGAACACGGGTGCGGGGACATGTCATTTTAATTTTAAAAATAAATAAGATATTACAAAATTATGAATTTTCAGAATTTCATTAATATCCAAGTAAATTATGTTAAAAAATAATAACAAGTCCTTACAGAAAAACAATAGCAAAGTGGAGAATAAGGTGTGGGTGGGCCCAAAGAAGTAGATATCAATAAAGGAGAAAAATTCTCCTATCCCTCATGTGATATTATAATATAAAATAAATAAAAAAAAGCCACTGACTTACAGTTGTGTGACCTACCCACTATTCCTCCTTTCTTCTTCCTTTTTCTTTCACCTCCTCCATACAGCTCTATACGTCATTTCTAGTTTCTACTCATAATTCTCTAAAATCATAGCATAGAACTTCAAATTTCATGTCTGATTATAAGGGAATTCCACGAATTTGTATCTGAATGGCAAGGTAGGATTAAATTTGTAGATTTATGGTCTTTTTCTTGTATTTTTTTTATTAAAAAAAATAAATAAAAAAAAAATATATCAATTTGCATCTTCTCTTCCACTCTCTTCTCTGAGTTGAAGTGTCCGGGTGCAAAGTGGAGGATCCGACACGGAATCCGTGTCAGTGTCCATATCGTGTTGACACGGACACTCCGCGATTCTTGCCGAGTCCGATTAACATAGGCCACAAGTACCCCAATTATCCAAAGACCAATATGAAGATTGGTGAATTAAAATGAAAGCACTATTTGGTTCCCAAGATTTGTGGGAAATTGTTAATGAAGGGTTTGAAAAACCATCCAGGTGAGACAAAGCGGTATTAACTCAAGGAAGGAAGATCAAAGAGCATTATTTTTTATCTATGTAGGATTAGACCGCGAAACATTTGTGAAAATCTCGAAGCAACCACAAGCAAGGAAGCTTGGGATGCTCTTGCAACAATATTTAAAGGAGTTCAGCGAGTTAGAAAAATGCATATACAAGCATTACGAGGTGAATTCGAAGATATCAGAAAGACAGATGTTGAGTCTATTTCTGATTATTTTTCTCGTCTTTTGACAAATGTTAACCAACGGAAACAGAACAGAGAAAAGATTGAAGATGCTAAGATCGTCGAGAAAGTACTACGATCTTGCAATAAAAAATTCAATCATGTATTACCTGCAATGGAAGAATCTAAAGATATTCATACATTATCAATGGAGGAGCTTCTTGGATCTCTTCAAGTGTATGAATCAAGAACGAAGAATAATGATGGACTAGTCGTGATAGAACATGCTCTTGAATCAAAGTTGTAATCAAATGAACAAAGAGGTGGAAATCGACGAGGCGGGTTTCGTGTACGAGGAAGAGGTCGTGGTAAAACAAAAGACATTCAATGCTATAATTGTCAAAAATATGGACATTATGCATCTGAATGTTGGAGCAAACAAAAGGATTAGGGAAATCATTTGAATTATGCCGAATCATAAAAAAACAATGAGGAAAGTCCTATAGCGCACGAAGATTCTAGTAATCAACAATTCTAGTGCTAGTAACCACATGTGTGGGAAAAAAGATTTTTTTTATTGACCTTGATGTGAAAATACCAAAGTAATGTAAGTTTGGGAGATTCATCTAAACTACAAGTTGAAGGTAAAGGAAAAATAGGAATATTTCAAAAGGTAAAGGATATAATGTTCATATGGAGGGCAATATTCTTCTTCTTAAAGATAAAAGTTGAAGACTTATTGCTCAATCAAGAATGGCGAAGAATCGCATGTTTACGTTGCAACTTTATACCGAGGAACAAAATTGTTTCTATGGTGTTGTAGAGAATGAGTCATGGTAATGGCATAAATGTTTTGGGCATTGCATTTCAATGGCCTAAAACTGCTACTACAAAGAACATGGTGCATGCGTTGCCTACCATTGGAAGATCCTAAACAAGTTTGTCAGATATGTACAATGGGAAAACAAGCAAGACTTCCGTTCTAGAAAGGGTTATCATGGAGAGCGAAAGAACCATTAGAATTGGTACACACAGATATATGTGGACCATTGCAGCTAGTATCTTTGGGAGGTAATTGCTATTTTATTACCTTCATTGATGATTATAGTAGGAAATTGTTGGTGTATATGCTTAAGGAAAAATTAACTGCATTTGATACATGTATGCATTTTATGGCTCGAGTAGAGCTAGAGCGGATATAAATTGAAATCAATAAGATCTGATCGAGGGGGTAAATATACATCGAATGTATTCATAAATTATTGCAAAGAAGCTGGAATACGACATCAATTTACAGCCTCCTAGCAAAATGGATTGCAGAAAGGAGAATCGAACAATTTTAGACATGACGCGAAGCATCTTGAAAGACAACTTATATTCCAAATCGTTGTCTTACGAAAAGTGTGAAGAATATGAGTCCACAAGAAGCATGGAGTGGTGATAAGCCAAATCTAATATATATAAATAAAGTAGACATTTTTCAAGAGCATTTGAAGCGCCACGTAAGCAATCTAATTATTTTGACCAATTATAAAAGAGATTTATAATTTATTTTGAATTAAAATATTATATCACCACCTAGGTAAAAGTAACGAATTAGATTTCATATATCTAAAATTTTAATGCCACACATATTAAAAACCACGAATGAAATTATTTTATAAATTAATGGTAAAAAAAATAAAGAAAGAAAATTTAGGAAAAGAGAATTTATTAAATCATTACTACGAGTATAACAATCCAAAAAAATATATGAAAAGATAAATCTCAAAAAAGATATTAATTAATTAATTAATTAATTAAAATCATATCATAGATAATATTATATTTAAATGATAGACGACTACAATAAAGTTTGAAACCTTCCATTATAAGATAAATTTTGATAGTGTTTATGATAAGAAATAAAAATTATTCCTTAATTATAACTAAATTAAAAATTTATGATATCTACCAACATAATTTCGTATCAATACAAAACAAAATCAAGCGATTTTGTGTTAGTAATTTTGTGTCTGTTTTAGGTCATCAATTGCTGGGATGGGTAATTCTTCGATTAATTTTTAAAATCTATGTTTAAATTTATATTTGTAATTAGCTTACATGGCGATTATTTAGGATACTTAACGATTATATGTTTATGTTTTGTTTAATAAATTTTGTTTTTACATGCAAATCTAATTTGATCAGAGAATTAAATTCGAGCAAAAATGATTGGAAAAGTATGAGTTTCTCGCCTATAAATTTCCGCGAACAAGATAGTTTAATAAGTTTAGATATGGTCCTATTGTACAAGGAGGTATTATATCTTTATAAATCATTAATATTTATTAAATTTTGTTTTTATCATAAAATTAATTCAAAAATAGTTGAATTAAATAATTTTATAATTTAAAAATAATTTTTTTGTGATTTAGGTAGCTTAATCGAGTCACTAAATTAGCTTAAATTTTTATTTTTAATTACAGGGTGATTACGTGCATATTTTATAACCTCAAGGGTACATGGAACAATTTCCCTTTTTAATTTTGATTTTTGATTAAAAGTTTATTTAATTATTAATAAATAGTAATTAAATTAGAAAAAAAATTTAAAAAGTTCGGAAATATTAAAAAAATAATTTCTCAAAATTAAAAATATATTTAAAATAATTAAAAAAATAATTTTTAGTTAAAATTACTAATTAAAAATTACGTGGCTTGGCTAGGTGGGTGGTGAAGGCGGTGGTACGGTTTTGTTTTGTTTTTTTTTTTTTTACATGAGGATTTGGATTTGATTATTTATTAATGACATACCCTTCACTTTCTTAAACAACCCTTAAGATTTTTTGACTTGGAGTCTGTGGAAGACCCCAAAGTTGCACATTATTTTTAACCAAGGTAGTATTCACATAAAATATGCAAGTGACAATTTCTCTGATATTGTAATGATTTTCATAATATGTGAGACAAATTAACAACTATCCTATCCATGCATTTGTGACTGAAGATGATTTTCTATGTTATTCAATTGGAAATCTATTGTCACTTATGAAGGCCAACATTAATCCATTAAGTGTTATTATATGCTAAATTCTATTGTGAGAGTTCACAAATTTGTGAATTTATAGTGGGATAAAATTTAACTTTCAATAAATATCAAATATTTCAACACCAAATATGATATCATCAAAATATGGAGCTCTAAAACATAATAAAATTTCATCATTAAAGAGGGGCTGGGACAATTGATTTGTACAGTTAAATGAAAGATAAAATGATCTTATACTTCCTCATATTTTTAAGATGTTCTATTTTTACTGTGAATTTGCATACATTTAACTAAATTATGAACACGCAACTAAACAAACATTACACTGCAACAAGATTTGATATAACACTAAGGGGGCGCTTGAATTGGGAGTATTAAATTAAGGGGTAATAAAAGTCAAATCAAGCAAAATTAAAGTAAACATAGGAGAGGGGGAGCTAGTGATGATGTGATTGTAAGAAGATTTATATAGTGATGGTGTGGTGATAGGTAAAGAAAGGGAACTATTACACTTATTTTGGAGGTAATAGGTTACACTAGGGGGGAGGGTGGGTAACCTATAACCCTCATTTTGAGGGTAATGATTCCTCCACCCCTCTCTTTTCCTCATGTCACTGCAACCTTAATTCATTCATAAACACCTTGGCTCCCTACAAAAATATCTCTAATCAAGTATAATTTACCTAGTTTGACTTTTATTACCCCCTTAATTTATTACCCCCATTCCAAGCGCCCCCTAAAATGACTAATATCACCTTCCAAAGAGCTAATATATTTCATATCAGCAGTAAGAAGCAGAAGAAAGCATAAAGGTAAAAATTGGGACTTACCAGTATACCTACGGCCCAAGACTTGGCAGCAGCAGCAACTGCCTTATTCAAACCATTCATCCCTCGACCATCCTCACTGTACCCTCCAAGGAAGTACGCGCTTAGAAACCATCCTACATCACACTCACATACTCTAGTTAATCCAAATTATAAACAATTCAAATGACTCAAATGTTATTCAAAATTTCACAAACCAGCAATAAAAGGGTCAGCAGTGCGCAATGTTTCAGCCTCGAAAACAGGGAATCCATGGCTAAACCTTCCAATTGCAGAAAACAGGAGTATTGCCAATACATCACCACCAGCTAATAGCGCAACTTTCCTGAATACGGAGTATAATACAACACAATAAAAAAAATGCTGAATATTTCGCAACATATTCAATACACATATAAGGTTTAAAAACCATAATCAAAACATGATAAAATAAAAAATTGATGAAATTTTCGCAATTAAATCAATAGAAACAATCAAATTTTAATAAGACAATGCTGCAACAAAATTCAATATAGAGAGGAACCCAAGTACGAATTCTGCCATTAACAAAAAAACCCCACCAAAATTTAAATTAAAAAAAAAAATAAAGAAATGAATTACCCCCATTTTTGAAAGCGGGAAGAAGAAGGCTTATCAAATTGAATAACACCTTCAAGAGGAACAGAATCAGGGCCAACAAAAACGGTGTCGTTATCAGGAGGGGATTGCTTGGTAACAGGAGAAGATGAATCGGATGATTTGGCAACAATAAGAGGAAATCGAAGGGTGTGTTTGATTGAATTTGATTTGAGACTGCGTTTAGAGAAAAGGGTTGCGGTTGGATTAATGTGGGAAAATTTGAGAGCTTGTTTAGAGGTAACAGAAGATGAGGTTGAAGATGAAGAAGTGCAGCAGCTGCAGCATCTGCTGCTACTGTTAGGAAGGGAGACCGCCGGTGCTTGGCTAAGTACTAGCATTTTGGTTTTCCAGTTTCTTGTGAATGTTGGCCGTCTCTTTCAAGGTTGAACCTCACCTTAGGTTTTTCAGAAGTGGAGAAGAGGATTTAGCGGTTGGGAATTGGGATTATATATGGCAATAAAGTTAATAATGAAGTATCGTTCGTGACCTTAGACCATTCTTTTGAGCGATTCTGCTTTGCTCTATCTTGCTCTACTTTATTAAAATTTGATCGGCTCTATTTAAAAATAATAATTAATAATAATAATAACAATTAATACTTAATATCTATAAAAAAAAACAATTAATACTTAATAAACATAATAATAATTTTTATTAATATTTCATAATAATAACTAATATTTATAGATAATAATAATTAATATTTTATAATAATAATAATTATTATTAATATTTCATAATAAAAACTAATGTTTTACGGCTTACTCGGGATTTGGGTCTCCTGATGTAAAGAGGCTTTTCTCTCAGTTTAAGGTGCTCTTAAGTTTGACACGTGTCATCTTCCTATAGGGACACGTGTCGCCCTTTTATTGGGCCACGCGTCGTTATGGGATTGGACCACGTGTTGGGGTATTATTTACCCTAAACATTTGCCCCTCGAAGAGGATGACTCGTACCATACGGGTCGCCTCCTCTGATCTTTATCCGTCCATTATTGGTCGAATGTTGGGCTAATGGAGCATCATCACTAATAAGACACGGACAACACCGTCCGTATACCCATGGGATTTTTCCTTTCGGCTGGCTGCCTTGATCGGTCCGCCTGATTTTATTATTGGACCTGAGTCTTAAAATCAGGCGGACAGTTGTGCCAACTGGCTTTGGGTAGGACACATGTCTCCTGTAATTTCCGAAATGACCGTTCGGATTCTGCTGACTTGGTCGTCTATTTTGACGCGCTATTATTGTGGTCGTACACCTTCCCGTCTTAAATGACGGAGCGGTTTTTTAACCGTTTTAGCTTCTAGGTTGAACTTTTCAAAAGTTACCGTTTGAACTTATGGGCGGGAAAGGTGGTTTTACCATTTTAACCTCATAAATTTTGCCTATAAATAAGTCCGGTTTGACTTCATAAAAACACTTTGGATTTTTGTGTTTTCTAGAGAGAAGTCAAAGCTTCTAGAGAGAGAAAGTGTTGTTCTTCGTTAACCTTCAAGAGCTCCGCCGAGTGTTTGAGATTTCCGGTCAAGGGTTTAAGTTCTCCGGTCAACTTTGTTCAAGATCTTCAAAGCTTCTCGAACCTTCTACTCGTACAAAGGTAACTGCCCGTTTCCTCTCTTTTACATTTTCTCTTTTCTTTTCCATACATGTTTTATTTTTTAAACACAAACTGGCACAACACTCGGCTTCGTCCATTTCTCCTCATGAGGTCGATCGTTCGCCTGGGACTGAGGAGTTTAGAGTGGACGAGGACGAGCCTTCTTCTCTATGGAGTGGGTCCATTTCTAGTGTGCACTAACTCACCCCCACCTATTCTTCTCTGTCCCTGCAGTCAAACATGGCGCGTATGAGGAAAGCGTATGAGCGAGACGTCCCCAGAAACCTTGATGGGAGTATGGTGCACCCCTGATCCCCTATGATCCAAGAAATACGGACGGGAAAACTACAAACACCACTGCTAGTGGTAGTGCCTGCTCCGTAGTAGAAGTGACCGCCTTGTTTTCTGATAGACAAAATCAGCCATACACTTCTTCCAGGGGAGCGTCCGAGCAAAATCCGGAACGACCCCCAACCTAATATACCAGCTCGGTCCTGATGCCGTCCGAGCTGCCTTCTTTTGAGAGACATCCTTCTTCATTTCAGGCGGACGCTAGAGCGTTCGTCCAAAATCTTCAACAACCCTCAATCCAAACTACTAGGTCGGCCAGGCCTAGAACTGACATTCATATAGCTGAGCTGGCCACCCTGCCCCCTCGCAGCGCTCCTCCTTCTGGTAGTCAAGCGGACGCTAGAGGGAAGAAAGATAAGGGCAAAAACCCTCTGGTGCCCGAAGGTCTAGTGATGACGGAGCCGAGGCAAGGCTCGGCTGGTGGCAGCTTAGTCGAGGCAGCTGAATTAGACAAAGTGTTGTCCTCTGACTTTGGTTCGGCAAGGATTACTGAACCATAACCAGGCAAGCAGGGAGTTAAAAACCCTGACGCCGAGGGAGCTGACGAGGGTGAACTGAAAGGAATGGCGTCCTTCCAACAAGTGTATTATTCTGATAGAGGGTTTAGAATTACTGGAAAGCTAATTCTTCAGTAAGGTCAAATGATCGGAATGCCTAGGTGGAGGTCGCTTCCGTTCAGTAATATTAATGTACAATTAATATTACAGCTTAATCTTGACTGAACCCTTTGGGTCGAACCCAATCGAACAACCGATCCGAGACAACGAATCAATCCGAAGGATTTGATGAGTCGTTAGAGTTTTACGAACAAAGACGTCGGATATCGAGCTTAGAGCGTCGCAAGTCGAGTCGAATTTGGAATTCGACAAGACGTGAAATCAATCAAGTTACAAGTTCGAGCCAAGCCGTAGCCTCGCATTGGCCTAGCCATGTGAGTGCTAGGCTAGGCAAGACCCCTCGCAATGCTAGCCGCAAGCCTAGCATGCTAGGCGTGCTAGGACCATGCGTGCTAGCAAGCCATCGCACGTCGCAAGGCATAGCCATCGCACGTCGCAAGGCATAGCCTAGCATAGCCTTGCGTGCTTGCTAACATGCTGGGAGCCTAGCCATCGCGACCACGCACCATCGCATAGTAGCATGCTAGGCGTGCTGCGCTATGCGTGGTGCTAGGCAGTGGCACGCACCAGACCCCAGCCATCGCTAGCCGCAAGCATCGCATACGCTAGAAGCGTGCTACGCTATGCATGCTTGCTAGCCAAGCTGGGCCAGGCATCACTGCACACCATGCGTGCTGGGCTTCGCATGGCAGCAGCCCTGCGCCTCGCACATCGCAAGCACCACGCACCAGACAACAGCGTGCTAGGCATGCTGGGCTGTGCGTGTGTGCTAGCAAGCAGCAGCACGCTGTGCCTCGTATAGCAGCAGCGCCTAGCATGCGTGGCTCGCTAGCAGCACGCATGCACTGGCTGGCTGTGTGTGCGTGCTGTTTGGCTGGCCAGGCTGCCCAGCCTTGGTGCTAGGCGCCAGCTAGCAGCCTTTGCAGCCAAGGCAGGCTACCAGCCAACCACTTGGATGGGGAGAGCCGGTTTGCTTATGGGGACCAAGGGTGTGAGCTTTGCCTTGGGGAGCAAGGCTATGGTCCCCCCCATGGAAATGGTCCTCACCTAATCTCTCATCCTCCTTGTGTACTTGTAACTTATTGATTGAATTGCAATTTTATTTTTGTTTTAATGAAATAAAATGGGAAAATTGCAAATCTCCCACATTGATTGGGAGTGGGAATTCAAGGTTCATTTCCCTATAAATACCAATGTTTTGGGATTTGGGAAGAACACTCGAGTGGAACTAAAAAGACATCTCCTTAGAAAAGTGAGAAAACCATAAGTTCGTAAAACTCTAGTTTTTATTGGTCGGGTCCCGACTAACCTTCGGGACTTGGACCGTTCGGGTCGGGTTCATGGGTACGAGCCGTCGGAGACCTTCGCATTAGCGGGGTTCAAGTTTTGAAGTAAGAGCTTGGGATTCAAGCGAAGCACGCGCCAAGGGTAAGAATGTCTTTTCCTTCTCTATCTTAATTGTTGTTTAATTTGTGATTGCATGCTTAGTCGCTTTAATTAGTGTGCGGGTCTTGGGCGGGTTTCTCTTCCGCGTAGAGTCGGACTCTACGAAACCCAACTGCGGTATCGGAGCCGTGCTCACTTTAATTATTGCGACTAATAATTAATTAAGGTGATTTAAAATGGATTTAAATTTCTGGTTATGCTTTTTAATTAGATTAGAAGCTCGTTTTAATTAGTTTTAATCTCGTATTTTTTTGCTAATTTGGCTGATAAACCCAGATTTCGACTCCAAAATAGTATTTTTGGGTGGAATCGATGTTCTAAATCGTTTCTGGTTCTTTAGGGTTGTCCAGAAGCCAAAATCTACCCAGAAATATGTTTTTCGAGGGTTTTTTCGTTTTTTAACGAAATTTTTTAAATCTTTTAACCTTGATTAATTATTGCATGTTGAAGGTAGATTAAATGTATGGTTGCATCCCTAATCTACTACAATTATAAACCTCATCAAGCATGTTTATGAAGTCATAATTGGGGCTTAATTTGGTGTGTTCATTTTTCACATAAACTTGAATTTTTCACATTATTGCAAATAAATTGCTTCAAGTGTGAATGTTTATGGTGAACTTGCAATTTTGAAGCCCCTAAAATTTCAAAGATCCAATCTTTAATTGTTTATTTGGTTGGAACTTTGATTGCTAAATTCCATGTTGAACTAATTTTTGGATTTAATCATTTTATGATTGATTAAAGTCCTTAAAGTTCAAAACTTGTGATTGAATTTTGATTAATCTTCATATTGGAAGATGTAATTTTTCAATTTTACACAAGTTATTGTTGGGAAATTTTTCATTGGATGAAAGGGTTTAATTTTCCAACCCCTTTAATTTTGTCAAATCTCATTATTAATTTACATTTGATTAAATTAACTATGATTGTAGCCCATCAATTTTTTGTAGCATAAGGAAAGACCTAAATTGTTTTAAGAATGGTTCTTGAATAATTTAGGCTTGTGCACCATTAAAAAATTAAATTTAATTAAGTTGGACTTGTTTTAATTTCATTTTTGACCTAAATTGATTCTAAAATAAATTTAGAATTAATTTTATGTCACACGAATAACGGGATTAAAATCCTGATAAAAGCATGCAAATCGAGGCAAAACATCCAAGCGCCACCAAGGCTAGTCGGGCTGCTCACGCAGCCCACATGTGGCTGCCTTAGGTGCTCACAAGGGTGCTCCACCTCAAATTGTTGTTGCTGCTGTGTGGCTCGGCTCGTGTGTGTGCTGCTATGTGCGTGGTGCGTGGCGGATGGCTGCAGGCCATGCTTGTGCGTGCTGCTGGGCAGCAAGACAGCAAGCCCCAGCAAGCCAGCCACTCGCCTGCCAACGCAAGCAAGCAGCCAGCATGCGTAGCAAGCTGCTGGTGCCAGTA